CCCCACTCCCTCCCATGTAATCATTGAGGGAAGGAGTATGGTTACCGTATCGAGCGGGTGGGCCTCCACGTCCGCCACCACCTCGCATACCCCGCCCCCCCCCAGGCCCCCCCCCCCCCCCCCCGCCCCCTCCCCCCCCCCCTCCCCCCCTTTCTGTCTCCATCGGAGGGTTTTTCACACCTGCGTCTCTTTCGCGGATCCATAAATCGATCGCTTGTGCGAGTCGTATGGGGTAATCGCGCTCCGATTCATTTTTTAAATGGCCTTTTTAGAGAAGGGCCGTGAAGGAAGTAAGGGGAAACGATTGGGAACGGCGCTCCCATGCTTTCTTCATTGTGGGAACGGCGCTCCCACACTCGGACGGGTCTTTTGTGCCCGGGGAACGGTCATATCGGCTTTAACGAGATCGGAGGAACTCCTTCATGATCTGTAATGTGTTGCATATAGGCAATAGTCTGATTGCATGAGGATCCTCTTCCATCTCGGGGGCATTACGCTCCATGCACACTCCGAGCGATCCTCCTCCGAGCGATCCTCCTCCGAGCGATCCTCCTCCGAGCGATCCATGCGATGATGGGATGGGATGGCCACCTTATCCCCAGACGCCGAAAATCCTCCGGTGAGGCGCAGAGTAAGACGCGCGTGGGACCGCCAGCGCGAGGAGACGGCGGGAAAGGGACCTCGCGCGGTACCATAAGTACTCGACCTTCGTTATCGATTCGGGACGAAGTACTGACTTTCCGATTCACCGTAATTTCTTCGCCGTGGAAATGAAACAACCCTTTCGAAACCATCGCAAAAAAAATGCACATCGCCAATTCCCGCATGCAAAATAGCGTGACGAATTACGCGAAACCCCACCCCGCACTTTAATCGCTAATGGCAGTCTGCACGCGCGGGTGGAGTGCAACCGAGCGAAACCCGTACTTACCGATTAACCATTACCGATTAGCCATTAAACATTTAATGCCGATTCGGGGTGAATAACAATATTGATAATTTCCCCAATAATCACCCAAATAATTTTTCTCAATTTAATTTCATCCCGAGAGATGTTTGAATGTTTGACGCGTTCAAATTGAAATTTGAACATTCGAATCGACAAAAAATGAGAATGTGAAAAATTTTCTCGACGACACCGAGAAAGGCAGATAAGTTTTCTTCAGTACTTCTAACTACTAAGTACGTCCAGTACTTCTAACTTTGTTCTAGGAGGTCCGTTCTGGACTCAGTCCGCTCAAGACCTGGAAGTACTTTCAAGTACTTCCAGTACTTGAAGCCACCAAAATGAACACAAACTCGGACTAGAAAACTCGTTGGAGTTGACACGAAACGCTTCGAGCACGTACTTGTAGTACTTGAAGTACTGAGTCATTTCGGATAAAGGTGTTTTATGTACATGAAGCACTGTCGTGCCTCCATTCTCGTCCTTTCTCGTCTTTCCTCGTCTTTTCTCTCACTGGAGTGTCCGTGAATACCAGAACGCGCCGTGTATACGAGGGAAGGTGATGCGAGGTTGACACGCAATCTATTAACCCATATCGATTAAACAAGCCGAGGAAATACGTGCTTCTCGCGGTCTTCGATGAGAGTCGGGCTGCGGGGCGATAACAGTCGACTTTCATCGGGCCGACCTCTTCATCGTCGCCAGCCATCGCAGGAAGCCGAAGAAGGCGCCGGTGGAAGGGCAGGGACCCCATTCCCGGGAGAGACAGAAATCCCGCCTGCGGAGGAAGAAACGGGTTTTACGACGGGCTTCGATGAACTCGATGATGGATCTTTTACGGGAAATAATTCATGCCTTCCTTATATCTCCTTAACGCGATGAGGACCAGCGGAACGATACGTGTCTGTCGCCCACAGCTCTCATTCATGCATGATGCGTTCGTGTCGCGTGCGTAGCCTAAGCCATCATTTACCGGAGGTTGTAGTCGATCGTGCGGATGGAGATCCTGTTGATAGGGAGGTCGGGCAGGGCGCGGATCCGGATGGACTGGATGTGGCCCACATCCTGCGTCGTGAGGAATCCCCTCAACCCGGTTCCGTTCTCGCGGAGCGAACCGAGTGAGAATTCCCCCCTCCAGCTTCCCCTGCTTCCAAGGAGGTCAATGCCCACCTTATTCTCTCCCTTCGCGTTCCGCTTCAGCGACGTCCACACGGTCACCTCCTGGGTCACCCCTGCGAAGCCAATACAGATCATGTCTTTGAATGCTCCAATCTCGTTTCGTTCTCTCCTTTCTCTGCCTCGGATCCGGGTGGCACGCGATTCCGGGAATTACAGGGAGATGATGCGCGGGCACGAACGCTTTCCATTCCCATTTCGTTATGTGCCAGATAAAAGTCACATGCCCTTTCTCATTTCCCTACTTCTTATGATATTTCAGATGAAATATTTATGGATCCCGTCACGGGTAAGTACATTTCAGGCCCATAGACCACGCTATCTCGAATAATGATGCCAATAGCCAATAGCGGGATTCCTCTCGTAAGATTTCCATTGGTGTTTTTGCGGTAAAGGCTCGTCCTTCGGTTCATTTCCTGCCAATGCTAAGTTAATCTAGACCGGCAAGCCGATAGCTTAAGAAATGAAAGGCTGCTATCCTCGCGACGCCCCCGCTCCTTCCCCCGTCAGCTTTTGCTATTATTTATTTCGCTTTATACATAGCCATTCACTTCACTGCTCGCTTCATCCGATATTCATCGACCGCCGGGAAAGAGCAAGCGTGACTCTCCTGTTCGTCCCTCGCTTTATTGCAATCGCGTGGGAGATTTCCAGATGGAACTTATCATTTCCAACTGAATCTGTGCATTAATCTGATGCATGACGCTACGTCAGAAATCGGGGAAGTACGGGTCTGATCTGTCCCCTTATCGGGGTGCGATCGGCCCCGGCGAGGGGAACTGATAATATCCGGTTTACCCAACACAATTCAGTTGAAGCAATTTCTTAATGGAACCTACGACAAAAGGGAGGGCTTGGGCCAGTGTGAAGGAAGAAGGCGCCTCCAGAGCCAGTATTTGCCATCTCTGCCTTTCCTCTCCAGTCTTCCCAGGAATTCCCCAGGCGAACGCATCCTCCGCCTCCGCACGAATAGCATTCCCCTCTCCTGCATGCACGAAGCGAAAATTTTCGTTTCCGATTCTTGCTATGGTTATTGGACGTTGCACAACGACTGACAGGAATTTTTCCCAGCTGTCGCATCTGAAGGCGAGGAACGGGCAACCCGAGTTCAAGGACTCCGTCAAGTACCTCAGAGCTCTGAAGTGATCGCACCCCAGTTTGTCCACAATATCTGGCAAATTGATATAAAAAAAGCATAAATAAATAAATAAATATTATCCTTCCCGGTATATTGGCATCGCTGAAAAAGAATTCCTCTCTGACTTGTGCCAAAAATGGAAGGGGCCTTTATTTGTACTGACAATCGTTAAGCCCTCTCTCCTCACGAATTTTGCAAAAACGCCTGATTTTCCACCGACGCTACAAAACCCTCGATGAGGCCACAAACACGACCTCAATCTTCCCCCAGAGTCGACCCAACTCAGGGACTCCGCCTGGGCCACGAGGTGATTCGCTCATTTTCACTTTCGGGGGAGAAGAAAGTGAAAATGGGGAAGCGAGAAGCAATCATCCCAAGTTCAAACTTAGTCCTAGCAATAAATATATAAATATATAATATAGCAATAAATATATAATTTTATGTTTCTCGCATGGAAACTGAAATTTTCACAGCGCTTTTACTCGTATCTATGTCTGAGAAGACGACGCAGCAAGTTTCGCCTTCTCTTCCCATCTCTTGGAAATCTTCCAAGCGAAACTGATACGTGTCATTTTGCGATCTAACGTGGCAGGCCGAGGGCGAGAAAAGAGGCTTTTCGGGCTTTGAGATGAAAAAAAATTTCTCCTCTGGAAAGAATTGAGTCGTGGAAGCGCGGAAACAAACTCAGAACGGCACGACAACCAGCGATGCTCGAAATCGCATGCAAGTACCAGAGGACGAAGGAAAAAAAAAATTCCAGGGGGAAAAAAAAAATTCCTGGGGAAAAAATTTCAATTTTTCATGCACCAGGTCACAAACTGACGCGTCGTGCATGCGATGCAATAGCAGATTCCGCGCATTTTGATGAGGCGGATTCATATGCAAGCTGCTTCTTCTTTTCCTCCTTCGCTAACGCGGCGACTCTCTGCATAAAATTTTTGCATTTCTGCGGAAATAGTAAAATATTGTGTAAATGTTGTGAGGCGGAACTGCTTCCCAGAAATCGTTAAGTGGGTCGCCGGTCATATTTTATAATGATGTTTATTCCTTTGAATCGGCCATATTGCCACGGCGAAAGAAAAATCCCAGGCATTTTCCTGGTGCGGTAGAAATTTTTTTCATCGTTTTCCGAGAAAAAGATCGAGGAAATTCCCCATAACGAGCTGGGGGGAAATCACAGCGGGAAGCCATCGAGGCAAAACCCGTCCCCGCACGACCCCCGCGTTCGCAGCGGGGGGGGGGGAGTGCCACCTGGTGATGCCTGTCACCTCCGCCCATCCCCGGGCTTAAATGGCTCGGGGGCCACCTTTCGGGATTCCTGTCAAAGCCCCGTGCCTGGTAATCCGGGGAAAGGCGGCGATGAGCGCCTTCCTCGAGGCTTTTCAAAGGAAAAATCTTTCCTTTCTGCACCTTTTCCTCCTTTAATCAGTCATGTGCGCATTGGCACAAAGGTATAATCAGGAATAGGCAGTTCGAAGCTGAAAAGCAACACAGCAGATTATCGCCGATAGGTACAGCATCGATCGATATCGCCTTATCGCCATAACCGGTGCAACTCTACTTATACGCAGGGCACTCGGAAAGTTTCGGGGTGTGACCTCACGGAAAGGGTCACACATGAAAGCTTTTCTACGCCTTATATGAGACTGTATGCAAATTTTCAAATTTATATTTCTTCAGGAAATTCGACTTGTGGCATTTCATACTCGCTTGCCTGCAAGTTTTTATTATTTATTATTTATTTTTATTTATTTAATTTTTTTTTTACCCCGGTCATTTACCGCTATACCTGCCGGATGCTCTGCCCTTGCGTTAAGTCCAATGGAAATCACAAAAGTTCTCGACGAGGGATATATATTAAAATTTGCACACATATATTTGAAACTATATATTTGAAAGAAGATGGTCATACTAGGAGGCTTTGGTTTCATTTACATATTGCAATAAATATTTTAGTAATATCATGCATCACATTAAAATGATTCTCATGCCCTTTAAAGGCATCAGTCACAAATAGTCACAAATGACATTTACTCTATTCGCGTATTTATCACATTTAACCCTCCGAATATCACATCGCGACTTCACAACATCGTCTTCGATCTTCGGATATTTATACGATAAATTTGGGAAATGGACCCACCTCCGCCACCGGGGCTGACGCATCCGCTCATGTCCCTGCCCCCATTGGGATAAAAGTCGACGTGCCCCATCCTCTGCTCCATGCCGTACGCTGCAACCGACAGGTCATTGACCTCACAGGGAACAAATAAAAAAAATGAATCGCTTTCGCACTCGCCATTGGCGTCGGTGTGGATGACATCCACGAAGACGGCGTCCCCCGGATCCAATCGGACGATGGGCTCCGTCCCTTGGAATTGGGGGCCGGCCGGGTCCAATCCCGTGATCCGCCCCAGACGGTATCCCGTTCCCTGAGGGATAACGTATCGCTCGATCCTGATCTTTTCCCATTCAGGTCCTAAACCTAAATTGTATACACCGTCCGCCATTGAAATTGCCGAAGTTTCCCGGCAGCGTGCCATGAAATTTCGATTCCAGATTCGAAGTTTATTGATGGTACGGGGGACGGGAACTTCTAATGGCGTCAACGAGAATCGAAGTTTCAAGGTGGAAGGGGAATTCGCGGGGGAAGGGGATGGCTTCCAAATGCCCCGGTTCCCCCCTTTCTTCGTTATTCTCGGGCCGCTTTGTGCCTTTGTCGAGCGTTTAATTGCGAAGCCATGTCGGGATGGCCTCTCCGAAGGTATTTGCGTCGACCTGCTCCAGCTTATTTCGTCAATGACTTTCGTCAATTACTTACGTCAATTACTTACGTCAATTACTTACGTCAATTACTTACGTCAATTACTTACGTCAATTACTTACGTCAATTACTTTCGTCAATTACTTACGTCAATTACTTACGTCAATTACTTACGTCAATTACTTACGTCAATTACTTACGTCAATTACTTTCGTCAATTACTTTCGTCAATTACTTTCGTCAATTACTTTCGTCAATTACTTACGTCAATTACTTACGTCAATTACTTACGTCAATTACTTGGAATGCAGGCTCGATGCATGCACTCATGGTTTTATGATGATTATTATGCACCGTGAACCGAATTTCATCAATTCGCTCAAATCCTTTGTGTTGCCAATTTAATTGCAGACAGTATATAGTTCTCTATTTGGAGCATATTTTGCGTCTTTTGTGATTAAATTACTCTGAAATTTCCCACAAAATTTCATTTAAAACTTTCTTTAAAAAAAAATTTTTCATTTTTTTAGCGCGACGTCGGCAACCAGAAACAGAGCCACCTAGCGACAGACCTGCAGGGCGGATCCCGCGTAGCCAGCCACATGCGCACCGAGGCTGAATCCGAGCACGTGCACCCTCTGCATGTCCGAGCCGGTCGTCTCCTGCGGGATATCCAGCCAGCATCGAATATCAGCCGTGCGGAATCGATGGAAATCGAGTTACGCCTTCCGCACCTTTCTTATTGCCATTCCGAACGTTTATGCAATAACAACGTGCTCCCCCCGCATAAATGAACGCCAGCCGTCGGCAATAGAAGACGCGCGTTCGTGATCGGAGCCCATTCATTACTTCATTTGCAGGGAACGGTCGGGGAGCTGCTACTCAATTTTTCAAACGGATTTCTGTCCTAGTTCTGTCCCTCGTTTTTTTCCCTTCCCATAAAACATTCCTGCTGTATTTTGCCCATCGATTTTCTTACGGCGTTGCCCTGGGCGACACAGAAGAAGAAGAAAAGGAGAAAAAAAGGAGAAATACGACTAAAAAACGAAGAAAGTGAGCGAGCATCCGTCCGACGAGCCTCGCATTGGCCACAGCCCTCGAATAGGGAAAGCCAGATCCTCCAAACCAACTCAGCACGACCACGTTCCCCTCTCCTCTCCCCAACAGCGCGTCCTTCATCGCCTGCAATCGAACATCCACCCCGCTCCGTAAGGAGGTCGTGCCCGGTCCACCTCCCGAGAAGACGAAACGGGTACCAGCATATCCCCGTCCCGGCCGTGCTGAAGGAACCCGTGAACGAGGACCTTCACGTCCCTCCGCCCGTCGAAGTTGGACTCCCTTAATCCATCTTCATTCCCCATCTCCAAGGTCTAGAAAGGGAAAGGAGGAGGAGACAATACAGGCCTTATCAGCAAATAATCGAATTGTCTTCCCTTACATTCAATTACATACTATTAGATCCCCGGGAGAGAACGCACCCTTCACAAATGGTTCCCCATCGTCAACCCTCTACCCCCTTCATCTCAGAGTTTCCTCTCGGAGTATTTGCCTCCTCGAAAACTTCGAGGGCTCGGCTGTTTCTGGCTGTTTCTGGCTGTTTCTGGGTGGATGCCTCGTAATGCCTTTCACATTTCTTTCTCCGCGCCTTTCTCGGCTTTAGATCGAGCGGATCACACAGTTTCACACGTCCCGTTTGCTTTCAACTTTCGTCACGAGTTTCGAGTTATTTTTATGAGTTAGTTATTTTATTTATTTTTTAAAAATATTTATTTGATGTCTTGGTTGCATTCCATTGCATACCATGAATGCCTGCGACTGAATGCAAAGAAACTGAACAGTCATTTTCCGCCCTTGACTGCAGAAATAACAGGCTGGAGGATGAACACTCTCGAGATGAGCTTGAAATCGTCGCTCTCTGGTTTAAGGGTTTGCAATTATAATTTGATGGTATGCTTTTCGCGCAAGAAGTTTATCTTAAATTATCCCAGTTTGCCAGGAAAGTAGAACTTTTCTGAACTCATGTTAGGTGATACAAAAACCAAGTTCAAATTACCAGCCATTTTCAATTGTAAAAAAATTATTTCTGATTTTTTTTTGCTTCCTTTACAGGATGAAACCTGGAACAATTTTCAGCACGCTCACCTGACAGGTGCCAGGATTCCTCGGCGCGTAGAGGCAAAAGACAGGTCGAACCTCGGAAGGCGGCTGAGGGAAGAAGGCAACGGGTCGAACGTCCTCCGAGGTCCACGGGTGGGCCAGGTCGAAGCAGCCGAATGGATGGTAGCACACCTCCTTCTCACCTGGTGGCACAGCCATCCATCACAGCGAGGAGCAGGCGGATGTCAGGTGGATGTCAGGCGGATGTCAGGTGGATGTCAGGCGGCGTATCATCACGGTGTCGACATTCAATCATGAGGACGCGGGTTCGTCGTGTAATGAGAGGCAATATTATATGTAAGGTACGGGGATGAAATTAATGATGACAGCGATGCTGATGACGACTGGCAGTGAGTGATATCATCATATTAACCATGGTAATTACGGTCGCTTTCACAACAGCTATAAAAAGCGACATAATGATGATTGCTCTAACGCTAGTGACGGTAAAAAAAAAAAGTTACATTTTGCGATTTAAGGTTCCTACCGACAAACGCATGGAAAAGCGGGAAGTTCGCTGGATACACTAGTGCTAGGGATGCTGGGATATCAACTTATTGCTTTAAAAAAAAAAATAATTTAATAAAAATCCACAATTCCAAGAAAAGTCTGAGCAGCCAAGAAGAAACGGCCAAAGCTCCTCGCATATCCATCTGGAAATCTCTGTTAATTAATTAATTAATTAATTTTTTGAATGGGAAAGCTTATGAATGATCCGGGCTTTACCGTTGACGGCTGAAGGGAGGAGACCCTTGGGTCCCTGGGGGAGGCGACCTCCCGCGATCACGTCGTTCAGGTTCCTCACGCTGGAGGTGGCGATGGGAGGGTAGATTTTGTCACTGAACTGGGCGAGGGAGGTCATGATTTGCACCAGGAGGGATGTCATACCTCCGCCGGCCTGCATCTTCTCCATTCGCGACGAGCTGAATGTCCCTGTAACCGGCGGCGGAAAGTCATGATGATCATCGGGATTCATCTTGACCTTGAAGGCCTTGTCCTTTATTCGTCCCCGGCCTTAGGAGCACGGTCATTCTCGGCCGGTGATGAAGAGGAGGAATTTATCGTCTGGCACCTCCTTATTCCATCCGGGGGGGAAAAAAAAAATTCGGAAGGGGTGGATGCCATCATCGGGATGGCTCGCCGTGACGACATACCTGGAGAACGAACCTCATCAGCGGGAATGGCGATCGTTTGTATCTTCGCTTCTCCCCGGGGAATCGCCGTCGGATCGATTCGGGGCTGATCCGGCCTTTTCAATAATAAAAAAGGAAAGTGTCGAAAGAGAAGTTGGACCGGAAAATAGCAGGAAAATAGCAGGAAAATAGCGGATGGAGGGCTGGCAATTTCGGAAGAGGACGTTGATAGCGGGGAAGTGCCAACATTTTTGCCTGAATCTGGTCGTCCCAGAATCCGATATACGAACCCGTGTCGGCAGGAATGCTCCCTTCGTGTCGCCCTGCTCGCTCGTCAGTTTAAAGAGGGGTCGCATTACCGAGAGGGGAACCGGAGATCAGAAGGGGCATCCGGCCTTAGAGTAAATGCAGACTTATCCGGTAATGACACCGATGTGTAACACTTCCTGCATTACGTGACAGAAAAGCCATCTCGACCGTCATCATTTCCCGTGAAAAAATGTCCAAAAAAAACCGAAAAATTGAGCATCCCTTTTTCGGTGCCATTTTTGAGCCCACATCGAATCCACAGAAAGCGCGTTTCCCCCCACCGAGAATATTCCGCCCCACGGCACCCCACGGCACCCCACGGCACCCCACGGCACCCCTTGGATGTTCCAATATCTCGATTCGCCACCTCTCGTTAGCGAATCTCCATCCGTTCCAATCACCGTCCTTATATCCTCTTTTCTTTCGCTTTAAAAATAGCGGACCAACTTTTACCACCCCGACAAATTACATCAAACAGAATCAAAGGACTTTTTCTTACTGCCTAAAAATAAATAAAATAATAAATAAACGTCTCCAAAACTTTCTGCTTTATATGAAGTAGGAACTCCCTCTCGAGGATTGATTGACCGAAGGACTCGAGGATCGATTGACCGAAGGACGTTGAGGGATCGGACTGTAATTGGACTTGAAACCTTGCCGGTCCCGAAATGGGAATTCCATCGTTTTGACAAGAGCAATTTCATCTCTTGCAATCATCCATACGATGGAGAAATTTGATGGAGAAATTTGATGGAGAAATTTGATGGAGAAATTTGATGAAGAAATTTGATGAAGAAATGCGATGGAAGTCGGTCCCAAGTCCCATCGGCAAATACCGAGTCAAAAAATAAAATATATAATTAAATTCTAAAAATATTTTTCCATCCGCTGTTAGTCTCCTGAGTCCTCTTCCATTATTCGATTTGTAATGGATGAATAATGGTGGACGAGATATCGAGGCAAACATCTTTGGTCCGTTCAGTAATTAATTAGATGTCTGCCTTTTTTTTTTAAAGCCGGAAAGTCGAGAGATTAAATTTCTGCTTCGAATCTCTCGGAAGGATCAAGGAAAATGAATTTGAACGGTATGGAAAAGTTAGAAAGAAAAGTTCTAAGAGAGATCTTGTCGGAGGCATTTTTTCTCTTTTTCCGCTTTTTTTTCATCTCTGACAGAACTTTTATATGCAGAATTTTTATTATTATTATGGATAATTCACTTGGAAGAAATCATAAATATGATTGATTTTTGAAAAAGGCTTCTAAACCCAGAGAAGGGTACGACGGCAGAAGAAGGATTCGAAAGCCGGTTGGGCGCCTCTGAATAGTCATGACGACCGCATCTCGTCCTCAAGGTCACCAGTACTATAACCAGTACCTCTGCCAGTAACGTCTCGTACGTGTTTTGGCTTCCACCAGCGCTCGAAGCCTCGCGAAAAACTGCCACCCGTCCATACATACCCAATTGTCGTCACCGATTCCTAATGGATGGGCAATTTTTTTTTCTTCACATCTTTGCGTGTCTGGTGCAATCGGTTCCCAACAATTCACATGAAGAATAGTTCACATAGGAGAACAATTCGGAAGTCAGTCGTCGCTGATGGTATCTCATCGGATGAAGTCACTCTTCGAGTCATTTCTCTCGTTTTTATTGCACTGGGACATCTTTTAATTTCGTGGTAAATAATCGAGTAGTACTCAAGTATACGTGGAAGGGATTATTTCGTTCTGGTATCGATCAATAGGTTCATCTCGTTTGCCCGAAGTTCACAACCTTTTTGCACGTGTTTTCCAGGGCTATTAGCATTAACTCAGTCTCGAAATCCTCACGGGGGCGTAGCGGTTGTTGTCGACTCGCTAGTCAAAGTCCGGAACTTCTTCCTCTAATTTTGGACCTTTTATTTGAATTAATTTCGCAGCATCTACCCCCTTTGCTCGCTCTTAGATGCTCCTGCAATATGCATCTACGTGTTAGCTGCAGTTCATGCGTATTTCATTAATCGAATCTGGTCCGTAAATTGCAAATTCTTTTCAGCAATGCTCAGTCAAATTCCCAGCACCAGTCCAGTGGTTCAGTACTAGAAACCATCTGCAAAATAAGTACTGTTGTGACGGTGCGGGTGCATTGTTAGCTCGATTTAAAAGCGCTTGCTTTATGGAATTCAATTGGTTTTCAAAGGTGAGTACTTTTCAGTGCTTTCAGAGCTTGTTCACTATTAGTTACACCTAGGACCGTCCCGATTGTAGCGATATCGCGAAATTTGCCGATATTGCTTCTATCAGCAATATGTCTACTTACCATAATTTTTTTTTTCGAGTGAATATGTGGCATCTAGAACGATCAGGCGCATGATAAGCATTGCAAACTCATACAAGGTGAAGCAGAAAAGGGGAAACTGAAAATTCATTTATTATTTGTGTCAGCTATTATGTTACAGGTAAGGTTCGGTAAGTTCCATACATATTGAATATGTGATTTCGAAAAAAATGACTGAATTTGCAATGTGCTGTCGAGTGTAATACATTATAAATATAACAAATGCTTTTCTCATTTCCGATTTGCAGTATCTTTTATTCTGCATCACCCTGCACAATGAAGCTTCCATCACGATACGTTGCTTCCCTCGAATTACAGGACCAAAATAGAGAAACCTGATGAAAGAAACCTTTACCCCTTCCGAAACAACGTAACAGTGGGAGGCTCAGCTAATCGCGATATCTCGGTGTCCTTCCTCTATCGTAGTGGCACAGTAAGGGGGGGTCGACGATTACGCTCCTAACAGCACGCTTCTACCCATCCTCCTTTGTCACTCCCCCCAGCTGCTAATGGCGAGGGTCGCATGCAACAGAGAGAGAAATGGGGCTGGCAACCCCACACCTCCGTGGCGTCTCCGTGTGATTTTTCCCTTAAGGAGTCCATTGTCCCCGGCCTTTTTTGTCTGAAAATGAATGGGGCCATTCAATGAGAAACTCCGAATCCAGTCACGCTAAATGTAACAATGCTGTGCGTGGGCTCAATAGAAATCCCTGAATCTGATCTGTATCAGTCGGACTTATCTCTCGCGTCTCCGAATCTTACAGCAGGGATTGCGATATCGTGATATCGATCGAAATCAGGGAAATCGAATCCTTCAAAACACATATCGTCAAAGTGTATTGCTGTGTTGAGAAGGGAATAAAAATGGCATTTTCTCGAAAATGTTACGTAAATTTCCTTGGAAGTGCTCCTCAGTACCGCCAGTTCAGTACTTGTTACCCCCCCTGTCATAACCCCAGAACGAAGGTAGACCATCGACACCTCAGTTCAAATCAATTCCGTCGACAAGGAAGCGATCCCATGCCACGAACTCGTCGGTCGTCGAAAGTACCGGAACGTTGCTGATGCGACTTGTTGAATGCGAAGTTCCGTGGAATCAAGCAAGTGGCAAAATGTTGCAGTTCAAGGGCTTCCTCCCACTGAGACGTCTACAAAAAGGCACAATAATGTTTCCATCTCGTATCTAATCCATTCAAAGGAAATATTTCCCGAGCGCATTTCCTCATTTTCCCCGCTCACTCACGCCCGAAGAGGAGAAAATGCCTTAGAGGAAAGCCCAGCGCGGTTCCCAGGCATTCAAAGCAAGATAAATGATGAGGCCATGAGCGCATCCCCCAACCTCCCTTCTTCCTCGAAGAAAAGCCACGCCGAAGACGGAAACAGATTCGTTTCCGAGGCCTCTCCATAATGATAGTCAGCCGCTGCAGGAAGTTCAGAAAATAATAAATTTGCGAGAGAGGCTCCAGGCGGATTCCTCTTTTTTTTCTGCATGGCGTAAGAGACAATCCCCCATTAACATTTTATTAAATATTTTATGACAACTTCGGATAATCTCAATACAGCCGCCGTTACTTTAGGTTGATTAACTTTGTCGAGTGCTACTTTTCATGGATTATATTAGGGATCTGCGAACGCACAGGCTCATACTAGTACGTATGACTCATATCAACATATCATATCATAGCAACATCGCAACTAGCATGCACTCCATAACACCGGAGAAGTAAAGAGCAACTCCACCCACAGCTGTGAGGTATTGGATCATGGATTTTGCGGTGAATTTCGACTCATACTGTAGAAAAAGATATAATGCCAGGAGGCCCACCCCCTAAAAAAAAGGTTCCTGTTTGATATTTTATATCATAAAACCCTCTGCGGATGATCTAGGCTCGTGATGTTTTCATCTCACATAGGAAACACCACAACATTCCTTATTCTGAAAAGCTCACGAACCTAGGTTGTCTGAATGAAAATCGACAGTCGTTGGAGTCATGAAATGGAGTCATGAAGTGGAGTCATGAAATTTACATTTTCCGTTTTCATGAAATTTACATTGAAGCGGATGGAGTTTCAGCACTGCTCCAATGATTTCTCTCCCTTGACACATAAATGCTCCTTGTCTTTTTTGTCAGTTCTGATGGTAGTATTCGGCGTAATATTGATTCTGATGCTACGACGTACGACAGTTGTACTACTCTACAACGTTTGGAATACTACGGCAAGGACAAGGCGTAAAAGTCAGTCTTTATGGCGTCAAGTGCTGAAACTCCATCCACCTCATACATGGAAAAGGTACATTTCAAGTCTCCACTTTTAATGACTAATATTTTCAGACAACCTAGGCAAATGAAAATTTCAGAAAACAAATTTTGTAGTGTTTCCAATGTGATGCAAAAGCATCACGAACCTAGATCATCCACAGCGAGTTTATGAAGCGTCAAACAGGACGCTTTTTTTTTGGCCACCCGGGAGTATTTTATCTGAGATCATGGTCGACTGTACGAATGGAGATCCTGTCGATAGGGAGGTCGGCATGGGCGCGGATCCGGTTATGCTGGATGTATCCTACATCCTGCGTCGTGAGGAATCTCCTTGACCCAGTTCCATTCTCATGGAGCGAACCGAGTTGGAATTCCCCCTTTGAGCTTCTCCTGTCCTCCCAGGAGGTCAATGTCCACCTTATTCTCTCTCTTCCCGTTCCGCTTCAGCGACGTCCACATGGTCACTTTCTGGGTCACCCCTGCAAAGCCAATACAGATTGATTGCTCCATTTCCTTCGCTCATAGGAGGGCGAGAGAATTCTTTTGTCCACTGGATTGGGGGTGGCACGCGACTCCAGAAATTACAGGGAAATGATGGATGGGCACGAACGCCTTTCTCTCTCCGTTCTATATCGATAAATGTCATTCCCCTGTTATCATAGGCTTCTAAGTGTTACACATAAAATTACCAAGTATTGTCGCCAAACGTATATTTATAAAATCCCTGTTAGTACTCAATAATCGGAGGATCTTTTAATACGTGACGGGGGGATCTAGGGTTGTGCGTTACGTTAATTACAATATGATGTCTCTATGACGTGATCCACTTGAGCTCGATTTCAAACGGTCCCCAAAAATTAATCAATACTGTTATGGTGGTGACTTTTTGCAATTTCTATTCCCTGTAAAAGCAAAATCTCCGGGCTATTCTTTGTCACCCCTCCCTGTTTATTTCCGGAGTGGTTCGAATACTTGGTGCCCTTACGATGGTCCAGGTCAAGTGTAACGAACAAAACTGTGAGTGTTTATTCGAAATAACACGTTTGATTGACTTGAAATTTTCGCAGCATATTTCTGACATAATGGATCTGACATTACGTAATTTTCAATAAAATTGGCAGCCTTTGGCCTTGGCTATGGCCTTCAACCTTGTCTCGAAGTTGTTGTCGCCGTTCCTCACCACTTTCATTTGAATTCCGTCCCAAATACAAACTAAGTCTTGCCTGAAACGATCCACAATGTGGTGGGGCTTGGAACGGGTATTAGACTGGAGGATCGACCACATGGCGTAGTCAAGAGGGTTCGGATCTGGAGACGACGGAGGCCACTCCTCCTTGGCCAATAACTCTGGAAAATTCTTCCGACACCAGTCCTGGGTCGCATCAGCCATATGAGACGTTGCTCCGTCCTGCTGGAATGTCCATGGCTCATCCCCGAGCATATCTTGAGCACAGGGGGTCTTGCAGGATGGATATTAAGCAGACGTCCTAGTTGATTTTGATGCCCTCGAGAATAAAACGATGGGGGACTTGCCTTTGTTGGTGACGGTGGCCCTAACCATGACCGAGGCCGGCTTCCGGGTGCGGAACACCATTCCACCACGGTCATGAAACTCCTCTCGACTTCGTGCCAAAACCCGATCATTGGCTTATTGTGGACTGCCTTCACGGTGAATGACTTCTCGTCCGAAGAGGACAATGTTGGGGGCCGAACCATCCTTGAGCTTCTCCAGCTTCTGACGACTTCGGGACAGTGTCTTACTCTTGGTGGTTCCACTGAGGAGCTGTCGCTTCTGGAGCCGGTAGGAGGTGAACCCTAGATCTTTCTTGACCACCCTCATCATCGTCGACCTCGAGACATTCATCTCATTTGCTATCTTTCTGATGGAGATGCTGGGATTGTGCCAAATCCGGCGCTTGACTTGGTTGACCAATTTCTTTGTCCTCGTCATTTTCCGAAAATATTCCATTTCCATTTTCCAGTTCCATTTTCTTAATTGAGAAACATGGACATGGTGTTTTTTTTAGTGGCTGAAATGGCAATACCCTCGTTCAAGTCAGGGCTATACGCCCAGTCGTCCGAGGATCTGCAGTGAGGTTGGGAAAATAAATAAATATTTGGTGACAATCTACGAAGAGAAAGGAGACAGTAAAGCAACTGGAAGTTTATTGCGACTAAATTATGCGGAAACTTCCCCCGAACACGTAATAATGGCAAGTGCTTTTTCCCACAAAATCGCGTGCAAATTGGAATTCTAGGAATAGAGCAAGTTTGAAGATGAAAGTGCCTTAATGCAAGAGTTCCCGACAGACCATGAAAACTTGTTCATTTTCAAGTACGGGTATGCACCGGACTGCTGCTGCTCTCCGGAAGAGAGAAGGCGGAAGACATGGGGAGAAACTGGGACTTTTTTTTGTGCAAATTCTCGGCTGGAGATAAATCTCTCCAGCAGGTGCCGTGGCTCCTTCCCTTTCCTCCTCCTTTTTCATTCCCTCGACTGATAATGTCGGCAGTTTGATCTATACCTTTAAATGATTGCCTTCAAAGGTGTTTCCTTTCTGGACTCCTTTCGTGAGTTCTTTCGTTCCAAGCGATTATCCCGATTTATAAATGCCTTATTTGTTCACGAACTAAAATGAATACCCGATTATTAATCGTAATTATTGGGAAAAGGAAGAGCCTGGAGTCGTCTGATAGTCAACGTTAACATCAGGGAGTGCCGCAAAAGGCAAACAAAATTCTAAGCCATAAATCTTTTGGCTGATCGAATAGTTTTCTCTGTTTCTTCAAACATTCGACCTTGACCATGGCTTATCGAATAAAAACATTATTGCAATATTCATAATGCATTCTTGCAAAAAGGCACTAATTATAACATATTTACATAATTATCTTGCAATTGCTGTGCTGATGATATTGTTTAATAATATATTGCTTAGCTCGTAGATATTGACGTTGAATCATTTGTGCAGTTTTTAACAGTCCTTCTGTTTAATATAATACATTTTAATGGCTTATTACGAATAGGAAAATCGTTATTCCACTGTTTCCTGAGGAGTTCTGGCAGATAATGAAAAGAGTGACGATTTTCTGAGCCAGCCTCTACAGTATATCACTTTAATCTGGTTTGGGAAGGAAGTAGGCGCCTCCAGAGCCAGTATTTGCCATCTCTGCCTTTCCTCTCCAGTCTTCCCAGGAATTCCCCAGGCGAACGCATCCCCCGCCTTCGCATTCCCCTCTCCTGCATGCACGAAGCGAAGCGAAAAGTTTCGTTTNATTCACAATGTGTATTTTAATGGTTCATAACAGCGGTTTGCATATAAATATTTTAGGGACAATCATGAGTTATTAGCCTCCTAGAAAATTATGCACTGCCCCCCTAGATCCCAACACGCAATGCAATTTTATAATATGATGTCTCTATGACGTGATCCACTTGAGCTCGATTCCAAACGGTCCCCAAAAATTCATCAATACTGTTATGGTGGTGACTTTTTGCAATTGCAAGCAAAATCTCCGGGCTATTCTTCGTCACCGCTCCCTGTTTATTTCCGGAGTGGTTCGAATACTTGGTGCCCTTAAGATGGTCCAGGTCAAGTGTAACGAACAAAACTGTGTGTTTATTCGAAATAACCCGTTTGATTGACTTGAAATTTTCGCAGCATATTTCTGACATAATGAATCTGACATGACGTAATTTTCACTCAAATTGGCAGCCTTTGGCCTTGACTATGGCCTTCAACCTTGTCTCGAAGTTGTTGTCGCCGTTCCTCACCACTTTCATTTGAATTCCGTCCCAAATACAAACTAAGTCTTGCCTGAAAGGATCCACAATGTGGTGGGGCTTGGAACAGGTCTTAGACTGAAGGATCCAGTCGAAGACCTGCCAGGAATATATGCCATATGGTCATATGGCGTAGTCAAGAGGGTTCGGATCTGGAGACGACGGAGGCCACTTGGTCAACAACTCTGGAAAATTCTTCCGACACCAGTCCTGGGTTGCATCAGCCATATGAGACGTTGCTCCGTCCTGCTGGAATGTCCATGGCTCATCCCCGAGCATATCTTGAGCACAGGGGGTCTTGCAGGATGGATTTTAAGCAGACGTCCTAGTTGATTTTGATGCCCTCGAGAATAAAACGAGGGGGACTTGCCTTTGTTGGTGACGGTGGCCCTAACCATGACCGAGGCCGGCTTCCGGGTGCGGAACACCATTCCAGGACGGTCATGAAACTCCTCTTGAGTTCGTGCCAAAAAACGATCATTTGCTTATTGTGGACTGCCTTCACGGTTGTGAATAACTTCTCCAGCATCTGACGACTTCGGGACAGTCTCTTACTCTTGGTGGTTCCACCGAGGAGCTGTCGCTTCTGGTAGAGATGAACCCTAGATTGTTCTTGACCACCCTCATCATCGTCGACCTCGAGACATTCATCTCATTCGTTATCTTAACTGATGGTCCTGCTGGGATTGTGCCGAATCCGGCGCTTGACTTGGTTGACCAATTTCTTTGTCCTCGTCATTTTTCTAAAATGTTACATTTCCATTTTCCAGTTCCATTTTCTTAATTGAGAAACATGGACAGGGGGTTTTTTCAGTGCCTGAAATGGCAATACGCCCAGTCGTCCGAGGATCTGCAGTGAGGTTGGGAAAATAAATAAATATAAACTTCTCAAATTTAAATGCCTATTTTTTTAAACGTCTCTCCGGCATAATAAGCAAAATCTACAGAAACATTCAGCGGTTACCAAGTCTGGTCAACATTTTCCAGCCAACTTACGATGTGTTTGGTGACAATCTACGAAGAGAAAGAAGACAGTAAAGCAACTGGAAGTTTATTGCGACTAAAATATGCGGAAACTTCCCCCGAACACGTAATAATGGCACTTGCTTTTTCCCACAGAATCGCGTGCAAATTGGAATTCTGCGAATAGAGAAAGTTTGGAGATGAAAGTGTCTTAATGCAAGAGTTCCCGACAGACCATGAAAACTTGTTCATTTTCAAGTTCGGGTATGCACCGAACTGCTCTCCGGGAAGAGAGAAGACACGGGGAGAAACTGGGACTTTTTTTTGCATATTCGCGGCTGGAGATAAATCTCTCCAGCAGGTGCCGTGGGTCCTTCCCTTTCCTTCTCCTTTTTTTCATTCCCTCGACTGATAATGTCGGCAGTTTGATCTATACCTTTAAATGATTGCCTTCAAAGGTGTTTCCTTTCTGGCCTCCTTTCGTGAGTTCTTTCGTTCCAAGCGATTATCCCGATTTATAAATGCCTTATTTGTTCACGAACTAAAGTGAATACCCGATTATTAATTGTAATTATTGGGAAAAGGAAGAGCCTGGAGTCGTCTGATAATCAACGTTAACCTCAGGGAGTGCCGCAAAAGGCAAACAAAATTCTAAGCCATAAATCTTTTGGCTGATCGAATAGTTTTCTCTGTTTCTTCAAACATTCGACCTTGACCATGACTTATCGAATAAAAACATTATTGCAATATTCATAATGCATTCTCGCAAAAAGGCACTAATTATAACATATTTACATAATTATCTTGCAATTGCTGTGCTGATGATATTGTTTAATAATATATTGCTTAGCTCGTAGATATTGACGTTGAATCATTTGTGCAGTTTTTAACAGTCCTTCTGTTTAATATAATACATTTTAATGGCTTATTACGAATAGGAAAATCGTTATTCCACTGTTTCCTGAGGAGTTCTGGCAGATAATGAAAAGAGTGACGATTTTCTGAGCCAGCCTCTACAGTATATCACTTTAATCTGGTTTGGGAAGGAAGTAGGCGCCTCCAGAGCCAGTATTTGCCATCTCTGCCTTTCCTCTCCAGTCTTCCCAGGAATTCCCCAGGCGAACGCATCCCCCGCCTTCGCATTCCCCTCTCCTGCATGCACGAAGCGAAGCGAAAAGTTTCGTTTCTCCGCGTCTTTCCCGATTCTTGCTATCTTGTTTGGACGTTACACAGCTGACAGGAACTTTTCCCAGCTGTCGCGTCGGAAGGCGAGGAAAGGGCAATCCGAGTTCAAGGAGTCCGTCAGGTTCCTCAGAGCTCAGAAGTGATCGCACCCCACTTTGTCCACAATTTCTGGAAAATTAGTATTAAAAAACTCCTAAATAAACATATATTTTCCTTCTCGGTATATTCGCATCGCGAAAAGGACACATGCCTCTCTGACTTGTGCCAAAAATGAAAGGGACCTTTCTTTGTTATGGCAATCTTTCAGTCACGAATTTTGCAAAAAAACGCCCGATTTCCCATCGAAGATGGAAACGCTACAAAACCCTCAAAGAGGCTTCAAACACGTCCTCAATCTGTCCCCAGAGTCAAATCAACCTCGAGAGCTCGAGGCATCAAATCATAAATTAACGCAGCCGCTCGTGATTAGTGGCTCGATGGAAAACCGGCAGATAATGAAGATTTGAATCATTCACGAAATTCGAGACAGTTCCTCGCATGCGATCCCTGGCTTAAATTGGAGGCACATGGAATTAATGATACGGTACGTAATTGCATGAGTAATTGGAGGAAAAGTTTGTAATTGAGGGAAATGCTTACAGAAGACCCTGAGTGGAACTTTCCAATCATTTCTTTCTGTCTCGTATTGAATGTAAGCCACTTGAGTTCGACCCCCGGGATTTGCAATGCGAATTCTGCAAAATCGCAGGATTTCGCGAAAGGAAAGAGAGAGGGAAAAAGAGAGGAGTCGAAATGATTGATGGCATTCAATAAGAGAAAATGCAAAGTTCTTCGCATCAGTCGCAAATAACGATGGCACGAAATTTAAAATCCTCGAAAAGGGAAGGCCCGGGGAAAGTGCCTCTTGAAATCCCCCGCGCCCGTGATGGGTTTCGTTTTCGTCAGCAGAGCTGAAAAAAAAATTTTTCTTCTCGCCAGGCAGTGCAGATAAACAACTCATTTATTCATTCGTTACCTATTTTATTCAGTACTTCTCTAGTGCTTGCATACCTGCATTAAATATAACATCGCGGCCGAACTCATCCAAATGAGAAATGAAAGGCTACCCACCCAACGGACCCACCGGCGCCCCACCGTGTCCCACCATGTCCCACCATGTCCCACCATGTTCCACCATGCCCCTGACGGGTTCCCATGCTCAGCTGGCATTTACATATTATAAATTAAATCTGCTCATCCCCCACGCAGATGCTGCAGTGAAAGCGAATCATTTCCTGCAAATTCCAACCAGCCAAAAATTTGCCAGATTTCTTCCGAGCTTGTTAGAAACTGAGAAAAAGCGGCAGGGATTCCTTTTCCCAGGCCGAGGAATCGTGAATGTCATGGCGTTCCCCTCTCGTTGAATCCTCCGGGAAAGAAAGAGAGAGAAAATGCATGTCTCGGAAAGGGAAATAATATGTTGATGTCGCATGGAAAGCATCAGACGAGCTCGTTGAGAGAAAAGACAGCTTTAAATCTGGAACAGAACGCAACCACCGCCTTCCCATGAAAGAATGAGTTCCGGATTGCCGGAATCCTCCTCGAACTCTGGATTCCCGGATTCCCCCCCCCCTCCCCCTCCCCCCTTGTTCCCTTCCTGCCTCGACTCAACTTTTTTTAAGGGATAAGGAATAGCAGCCCTTTCCTGTTTTCTCTTCTCAATCCGTCACTCTCGAATGCGACCCTGAAACTTTTTCCGGGCGAGCGACTCAGGGCTTCAGACTCAGGGCGTGACGCGACTCACCTCGAGGGCGTGTCCCGCGTATCCCGCCGCGTGCGTCTCCCCCGCGTCCACGCCGGCTCTCTCCTGCAGGGCATCCGGCTTAAGTTAATCCAGGATAAGTGAAGAAAAAATGCGTTCGTCTGTCTTGCTTAACAGTGTGACATTGCTGGTCATTGCTGATAGGGATGTAATTGCTGATAGGGATATCATTGCTGATAGGGATGTAATTGCTGATAGGGATATCATTGCTGATAGAAACAGATCGTTGCTGATAAGAATTTCCTACCTAATTCGGTCGTTCCGGTTCCAAATTTCAAGAGTTTATCTTGGTGTTCTGGGTACAAAACTCGCCGACTGAGCCAAGCGCAAACCGAATTCTACAGACCGATCTAGTACTGGCGGTACTAGATGGATGACAAATGAAGTACCAATAAATTCGCTTGATTGACGTGGACAAAGACGGACTGAGAGCAAGAAGTACTGGTTGCGTCGTGTCTAGTGGAGTACTGAGGGGCTCAGTACCAGTACTCAGTACCAGGCCAACAATTGAGACCTCGCGCAACGTCTCAAATGTTGGCCTGGTACCGAAATCTGGATGCATCTAATACTGATATTTACTTTCCTGAATATGGACCAAGAGAGAGTTAGTTTACTGAATTGGCACAAATAAGAAGTAAAATCAAGCGTTTTGCATTTGTAAAATCGGAAACAAATGGTAAAAAGGTAAAATTTTAGAATCCTAATTTTTGCGAAGAAAAGTACTCATGTACCTCACCGTGACGGTGTGACGTCCCGAACTCCGAGTACTAAAAAGTACTTTAGTACATCATGTGCCATGCAGGTACGTGGGCGCGATCCAGCGACGATCGCCCCGACCTCACTTCTGCCTCTGGCGCCGCCTCCTTTCGAGGTTTTCGAACCATGGTCACCCCACGCGACATCTGATCCACACGACATCTGATCCACACGACTCGCTCTCGCGTTCGCGCAGAAACTCCGAAATGATCGCTCTTCAATTTTTTCTTCTTCAAATTTTTTTGCAAGAGCTTCTCAGACATTATAAAAGTCTCCTTGCCGTGCGTTTCAGGGGAGTCCTCCCGTGTAATTCCTAACACTTTATGTAAGTACTGGTACTTTCACTTGGTAAGTACTGGTTTTCAGCCGTATAATTATGGTTTCTTGCCTTTCGAGAGACCCTGCAATTCATGGCCATTCTTTCTCATTACCGATTCAAAGCTGCTCGCAAGGGCAATATTTACTCGCTCCTTTCACGTGGATGAGGTATTACGAGACGTCGGCACTTGATAAGCTGCATTTTGCGTGCAGAGCGCACCTGAAAGAGGTTTACACCTGTCGAAAACGATTTTTTTAGAGAATAGCGTTTTCCATATCGCAAACGAATTTAAATCGCTTCTTTCGTTTTCTCTTTCAGCGTGAAGAATTCCCGATAAATGTAGCCTATCGAGTGTCACCCAAAGCGTTGGTATGGGAGTCACGCCATCTCCTTCTGGGATAAGACTAAGAGATTTGCTCGAGGAAAGAGCAGAGGGAAGTACGACTAAGAAACGAAGAAAGTGAGTCCGTCCGACGAGCCTCGCATTGGCCACAGCCCTCGAATAGGGAAAGCCAGATCCTCCAAACCAACTCAGCACGACCACGTTCCCCTCTCCTCTCCCCAACAGCGCGTCCTTCATCGCCTGCAATCGAACATCCACCCCGCTCCGTAAGGAGGTCGTGCCAGGTCCACCTCCCGAGAAGACGAAACGGGTACCAGCATATCCCGGCCGTGCTGAAGGAACCCGTGAACGAGGACTTCCGCCTGTCGAAGTTGGACTTCCTTAATCCATCTTCATCCCCAATCTTCAGAGTCTAAGATGGAAATTGACGGAGGCGGAGAGTGCATCTCATGCGAAAGCCACGATTAGATTATATTGCATTACATTTAATTAGATTCATGATGGCATATGAAGAACATATCGATTCCCTCTTCCACTTGAGACAAAATTGAAAACAGATATATCCTTGAAAATCTTCCGAACTTGGCCTTCGGTCGATTTTACCTCTGCTTTCAGCTTCCGGCTTGATCGCAGCCATTTACTTTTTCTTCTTCTTTATCCTCTCTCCCTATCTTCCCTCTGATTTAGCTTATTACAGTGCTAATGGATTTTTTTCATGCATTTTGTAGTATTATAAATATGTGAAAACTCAAGTTATATTTTAGTTTTATATTGCTACAGCAAGCCTTACTACATATTGTTATCCATTCATTTATTGCTGATTACGAGCAGAAAAATCATTTTGGCTTTGATTTTGATAAGCTTCATTCTGGCAAAGATCCCATAATTTCTTTTTTATTTATTTAACGGCAGTGAATTTTTCAATTTGTCTCGCAGGCTGTCTGACACGCGTTGCTGAAAGAAAAGTGCGAATTGTTTAGCCTCGACCAGGAGGGATTCCCCAAATAAGGGCGGTAAAAGACAGGTCGAACCTCGGAAGGCGGCCGAGGGAAGAAGGCAACGGGTCGAACGAGTCCTCCGAGTTCCACGGATGGACCGAAGCAGCCGAATGGAAGGTGGCATACCTCCTTCTCACCTGGTGGAATAGCCTTTAGCATGGGTTCACGCGACAACATTGATTTTGGAACATTCAGATGACATTTAGGACGGATGAAAGTGAGACCAAATTGCTCTGGTAATGGCCGTGACGAAGGAAATTTTAAAGGAAATTAACGAGGCTCCGACACTAGGATCGTGACTCTGGCAATGAACGATGACCGTGAAACAGGGAGCTGTAACGATCGATAATAAAAATGGCAATGGCAATGACAATGACAATGACAATGACTTTGACCATTGACACTGAGAGACGATGACTATGGTCCTCAAGTCTGAACTTTCCAGCGGGTATTGCAAAATCCCATTTCCGCAGGGAATACTTTGTAGGACCACCTTAGCAGATCGTTCACGACTAGGCAACAGCAAAGGCAAGAGCGAGGCAACTCTTCGGCAACCGCTGCGCAACTGACGTGATTCTTCCTTGCTCCAGGCATGTCGCTATCGTGGCTTCCCAGAACACATCAAAGGAAACTTTGTACCTCACTCGGTTCCTCGGCGCCTCGCCCTCATGAGACGCAGGAAGTATGTTTTCATGGCAACAGGGCAACATGGCAACAGGGCAACATGGCAACAACGTCGCATCTTAAGGTGCGACGCTGTTCGTGCACTTTCACGATTTACTTTTGGAATTTATTCTGTACGCGAAGGAACGCATTGCTCGCTCGCTGCAATTTTCAAATAAAAAAGTGGATCTGATATTCGCCGATGGGAGAGCATTGATTCATGCCTGGCCCTTGAATCGGCCGTTCAAGGTCGAAGCACAAGGCCAATTTCGGGGGATTGCCCTGTTGAAGTTGAATCCTTCCGGAGTCCAGCAAGGCGAAGGGGAACAAAATCGTCGAACAGTTCAGAGACATTTGCAGAAACTCGTCGAAACGCTTGAAATCGTCTCTTTTCGGCCATCGTGTCCACCATAGAAAGGATTTGTCAGTGATAAACTATGCGAGCGAACTGGACCAAGTATGCATTTCCTGCGAATTAGAACGAATAAGGAAGAGAACTTCAGCAGCAATGGAAGAAGCTCTACGATTTCTCAAACGACTTCAGTGATCCAATTTCCTTCATCCAGAGGAGCTTCGGGTTTCGCTTCTCCAGAGGGAAATCCCGAATGTTTGTTCCTTGTGGGACAAGAATGTCCATCGGAGGTCCAAAGGATCTAAGGTCCAAAGGATCTAAGGTCCAAAGGATCTAAGGTCCAAAGGATCTAAGGTCCAAAGGATCTAACTTGATTTTCTTCGTTTCCGACTTAAGATTCTTCCTGACATCCCTCCCCTCTTGCCTTTTCTTCTCTACCTGGCGACATCGGTTGTCGCTATGTAGCACGTGATGAAAACAAAATGCCCAATCAATCAATATTGTGCAATCATCAGCGCCAAGACAAAGGCTTTCGACAATGATCTTACCGTTGAAGGGAGGAGACCCTCGGGTCCCTCCCTCTCGAGGTGGCGAGGGAGGTCATGATCCGCACCAGGAGGGATGTCGTCCCTCCTCCGCATCTTCCTTTTCGCTATTGAGATTTACCTCCGAGCGATCCCCAAAGCCTGAATATTATTTGCTTTTTTGATGTCTCACTGGCCTTGGTGACCTTGGTTACTTCGTCCTTCAATTATTCATGATGAATAATGATTACTCGTCCTCCGCCTTCGTCCTTCAACGTTGTCTGGTCATCATCAGCACGATGACTAAGGAGAATTTCAAAGGAGAGCAGCTTCTTAATAAATAAATTCCTGAGCTCCCACTCTTTCCCCCTCTTTCCCCCTTTCCCCCCCCCCCCCTTTCCCCCCCTCCCACGCTTCGGTGCATTCCGTTCCTGTTCCCGCTGAACCCAATGACTTGCCGTTTTTGGTCTTTTTCAAATCGTCTTCTGTCTGACTCCAGATGTATTCCGTGAAAAATGGAGGAAAGGGCATTTCCCAATCCATGGCATGGGCCTTTCCCAGGACCGGGAAAGCCAGGAACGAATGAACTTTTCGGGCCGGGAACCGGAGTGGAAAACGATAAATTTCACGTCTGAGAAGATAGGGCGCGCAGTATGAAAAATGGCCATTGCACATCCATTGCACATCCATTCCGAGTCGTCCCTGAGCCGTGACCCGGCCGACTCGGAAAGGAAATTGAGGAAAATTCCCATTTTCCCCAATCTCCTTCCCCCGACATCTGAAACCATCCTTTAAAACAATTGCATCCGGCTCCGAGACGGCACTCGGCCCCCGGATCCAGCCGAATGGACCGATCGGTTTTCCTGTCAAATTAACGCTCTCGGATTTTTTGGAGAGAGAAGCGTCTCGGGTTCCCATCGCCGATTGGATACCGGCCGCTCCAGCATCCAGGAATTTCCTCATCTCTTCCGACGCAAGTTTTCTTAACTTTCACTTCTTCGGTCCGAGGGAGCGGGGCGGGGCGGGGCGGGGATGTTTCGTGTTATACGAGGGTCAGTCAACTGAAAACAGGACATTGCTTAAAATAGCCTTTTATTATATCGGTGATGATTTCGTCATTTTTCTATATAATCCCCCTGCTTATCGATGCATTTTTGCCAACGTCCTACTAGAGCTCTGACGCCCGAGGCAAAAAAGGATTTGGGTCGCCCCTTCAGCCATGAGCCTCAGCCTTCAGCCTTGAGAGGTCCAAAGAGGTGAAAAATCGCTAGGGGCTAAGTCCGGGCTGGATGGCGGATGCGGAAGAACTTCAAATCCGAGATCTGTAATGGTTTCTGCAGTCTGTCGAGCAGCGTGGGGACGAGCATCGTCGTGGAGAAGAAGTACTCCTTTCTCGAGGAGACCATGACGTTTTGTTCGAACTGCAGGCTTCAGTTCATCTCGCAGCAGCTGTGAGTACGTGTCCCTGGTTACGGTAACCCCGCGAGGTTGGTAGCGAGTCCCAAAAAATGGTCAGCATCAATTTTCCGGCAGATGCGATGATCTAGCATTTCTTGGGCCGAGGAGAAGTCTCGTGCCTCCATACTGGCTTGTTTGCTCCCTGGTGCGTGTTAGTGGACCCATGTCTCATCTCCGTGAGACCCATGTCTCATCTCCGTGAGACCCATGTCTCATCTCCTGTCACAATTCGTGAAAGGAAAGCATCTCCTTCGGCTTCGAAACGGCTCATCGAGGAAACCGCACTGGCAGACCGTCAGTGGATCCATCTCGCACACACTTTATTGAATCCCAGCATCTCGTGAACGATATGGTGGGTAGAGCCATGACTTATACCCAGATTGCCATCGATTTCATCTCGTGTCTACGGTCTCCGCTTGGCCCGGGCGCGGAGCTTCGCACGTTTTATTCCACTTTGAAACTTCTGCACCCACTCGTAGACGTTGCTCCTTGCAGTGCGGTGATCGCCACGCACAGCTTTGAGTCTCTGATGAATTTCATTACCATTAATGCCTTCGGCAACAAATAAACGGATCACAGAACGTATCTCATGCTGTAAAGAAGTGTAGACAGAGAAAAAAAAGCTGCGCATGTCCCTAGGGAACATGCCGACAAAGAAAACGGCACACGAAAAAATACGGTTGCGAAGATGTTTTGGAAGAAAAAAAATGATGTCCGGTTTTCAGTTGACTGACCCTCGTATATGGCAAGTTTCTTTCGGTCTTGCGTTAGCAGAGCGATTGCGAAAGGAACGGGATGAAATTGGAGATGACACGAAGCAATAAGGGCGACGAGACAGGGAGAGAAAAGGTCAAGACGGAAAAAAGGGATTCCATGCCGGTCTGCTCTCCCTCATCGACTGGCCGTCCTCGTTCTCGTTTCCCCAGGGCGATCGGGTCGTTGGGTGCGGGCGAGCATCGTTGCAGAAAGGCCAGAGAATTCATCGGAATGGAACGCGAGAACGGTATTTGCAGGGGATTGGCGCGGCAGTGCGCTCGAGGAATAGTTCATGGTGGCGGCGGAAAGGTGAAATGGCGGGTGATCAGGTAATCAGGTAATCAGGTAATCAGGTTTTCCCGGGAACGGCCGGATGACGAGCGAGATGCAGCCAGACCGACCCTCGTGACACCATCGGCCTCCTTTTTCCATCCCGGGAAAAAGATGCCGGGTCCTTAGCATGGGGATGGCTCCCGGGGGAGTCATCTCCGGAGAATGGACCTGATCAAGTCCGCAGCTTCATCTCCTTCCTTTATAATCCCCCGCGTGTTTCCTCTCGTCCTCCCTCGGGGAGGGAGGGAGGGGGGAGGGAGGGAGGGAGGGAGGGGGACCGGCGGTCTTCGTTCGCTTGGTCCATAAAGGAGGCTTTTTCCCTTGGGGGATGCGAAGAGGGATTTGGAGGCTTTGGGACGATTGAGGATTTTTATTGCAAATGTAAACGATTCCACATTTTGCAACAAGGGCCATGCCAAATGGCCCCTGCCATAATAGTTTCGGGTACTTGTCATTTGTACACGTTTGTTTGATGCAGGAAAACGCGAATGAAGAATTGCGTGCGAATCTTTAATTTGGCCCTCCCTCAACCCACATTTAGGAAAAAAAAAGGCATCGTCCCTCTCAGGCAATCGCAGTTCTCAGTCGCAATTCACATTTTTTGCATGCGAATCGTCTCCATTCCGCCTCCAGACTCCCGTCACAGAGATGCGCAGTGCCATGGCGGGATCCGCTTTTTAATATACACGAGAAAATGCTCACTTACAATACCACTTATTTATGCATAATCGCTCCGAAATTGTAATGGTAATTCATTCATAAAGGCGGTTCAAGCATAATGGGAGGACTGTGTATATTTAATTATTCCTTAAATAGCCTCTTCTCTTATTCATGTGCCATCCTTAAATATCCGTGAGGGAGTCGAAATTGCCAATGTCCTGCTATGTCGGTCTCTGCAGGCCTGTCTCTCTCTTTCGCGGCTTCCTGTTGCCCTGTGGCAACTGGGAAAAAAGCGAAATTTATGGGAATTTTTTAAATACCTTTTTTAAATATTTATTCATATTTTTCGTTTGCATCACTTTTTACATTATTTTTGTATACAATTTTGTGATATTCGAAGCGTTGCGCGGACCTGGATCGGTGGGCTTTCAGAGCTGTAATGGATCTCTAAATCCTGCTCCATTACGAATCGATTGCAAACGGGCGGAGACCTCGTGTAATAGCCCGATAAAAGCCGATAAAGCACTTTGTCCAGATGTGCCGGAATTCACACGGCTTCTAATATAAAAGGGTGAGAATTGCCCTTCCAGGGTGAGAATTGCCCTTCTAGTGTGAGAATTGCCCTTCCAGGGTGAGAATTGCCCTTCTAGTGTGAGAATTGCCCTTCTAGTGTGAGAATTGCCCTTCCAGGATGAGAATTGCCCTTCTAGTGTGAGAATTGCCCTTCCAGGATGAGAATTGCCCTTCCAGGATGAGAATTGCCCTTCTAATGTGAGAATTGCCCTTCTAATGTGAGAATTGCCCTTACAGGATGAGAGTTGTCCTTCTAGTGTGAGAATTGCCCTTCCAGGATTAGAATTGTCGTTCAAGGGCGAGAATTGCCTGGAATTCATATCGAGGACAGAAGATCGCTCGTCACTTTTTTCCCCTTTGGGAATAAATAAAAAAATGATTCCATCGGCGTGCAAGGCGGTCAATTTTCCAAAATTCCGCGCTATCAGTTTCCCGAATCGATGGGCAATTGCAGCTGGAAACGAGGGCAATCGAGCAATTCCCGATCTCGGAAATCCAACGACGAAGTTTCCCGTCGCATTAAAGAACACTTTCGCTCCGCGAGGCGCTTTAGAATCCTAATCGGGATTTCCCCCAGCCCTTCTGGGATTTCCCAGGGATTTCCAGGAAAGAGGAGAGAAGGCGACTTAGAGCATCTTGGTTGAAAAAAAAATCCATAAAAATATCCAGGGAATATATTTCCTTTTGAGTGTTTACCAGTCCCGTTTTATCCCTTTCCTCGATTTCTTCCAATCCAATTTTCATTCTGCCTGAAGACGATGGGTCTTCGCTAAAGCCCCTGCATTCTCGAGACGTCTGCGAGAAGCGAATCTTTCGCCAGAATGTGAGATGTGACACACCACGCATCACATGTGACACACCACGCATCACATGTGACATACCACATATCTCATGTGACATACCACATATCACGTGTGGTACATCACATTTCACATGTGATGAGTCACATTTCACATGTGATGAGTCACATTTCACATGTGATGAGTCACATTTCACATGTGATGAGTCACATTTCACATGTGATGAGTCACATTTCACATGTGATGAGTCACATTTCACATGTGATGAGTCACATTTCACATGTGATGAGTCACATTTCACATGTGATGAGTCACATTTCACATGTGATGAGTCACATTTCACATGTGATGAGTCACATTTCACATGTGATGAGTCACATTTCACATGTGATGAGTCACATTTCACATGTGATGAGTCACATTTCACATGTGATGAGTCACATCTCGAGGAATGCATGCAGTAGCTCGAGCGAACGGATCGCAACCAATACATGGGTGGAACGTTCAGAACCGTTCCAGTCAAAAAACGAGATTGAG